ATACACAAGAGCAAAAGCGGCTGCTCATGGATTTAGATATTTCTATGCGTAGCTCGGCATGTCCCTACACAGTACAATTCTATGGAGCCTTATTTCGAGAAGGAGATGTATGGATATGTATGGAAGTAATGGATATGAGCCTTGATAAATTTTATACAAAAGTGTATAAACATGGTCGTGCCATTCCTGAAGATATTTTAGGAAAAGTGGCTTTTGCGGTACATATATATGTACATACACACACGCGCACTCATATACCAAACTTTAAACTCTCAATAATGTTTTGTCAATGTTAAGCCTATTCTACAATGTGCTCTTTGTTTCCTGTTTCTTGTTTTTTACTTTTTGCTTGTTTCTTTTTTGCAATCGTTTTATTGACAATTTTATATTGCTATGTATTTCTTTCGAAGTTCGTTAACTTTTATCTCGGACGATATAAAACAAAAAACCGGATAAGAAGCAAAAAGACAAGATGTAAAAAATAGCAAAAAACAGAAAGCACATTGTAGAACAGACTTAAATAATTGCACAAACATTTCTTTTTTCTTATTTCCGACCCTTTTTCTTTCTTTTGATTTTACATAAAATCTAGTTTTTTAATTGATTTTAAACTCTTTTTTAATCATCTGCATTATCAATTTTGCAGGTAGTGAGCGCGCTGCATTACCTCTATTCACAATTACGAGTGATTCATAGAGATGTAAAACCTAGTAATATCTTAATTAATCGGAAGGGCGAGGTAAAAATTTGTGACTTTGGTATATCGGGTTATCTTGTAGATTCAGTTGCTAAGACTATCGATGCCGGATGCAAACCATATATGGCTGTATGTAATTATAAAATTTTGCCATTGAAAATTTTAACAGTTTTCCATTTTTCACCATTATCTTTTTTTTGTAGCCAGAAAGGATAGATCCGTCAGGTAACCCATCACAATACGATATCAGATCCGATGTTTGGTCATTAGGAATTTCCCTCGTTGAATTAGCAACTGGTAAATTCCCATACGAGTCATGGGGTACACCGTTCGAGCAACTGAAACAGGTAGTCAAGGATGAAGCCCCAAAATTACCTGTGGGCAAGTTCTCTCCTTCATTCGAAGAATTTATTAATAAGTGGTAAATGGCAACGTGTGCGTTAAGATTTTTACACCTTTAATCTAATTGATTCCTTTACATAATCATTACTGTTTTCAGTCTAATGAAGAACTACACTGCCCGCCCAAATTACAGTCAATTACTAGAACTCGATTTTATCAGAGAATATGCCCAAAAAGATACAAATGTGGCTGAATTCGTTGGAGAGATTTTAGACTTACCGGAAAACGAGCAACCGGTATAGTGCATACGTCATTTTGACGTGGCTTGCAATATAATTTGACGTGTAACTTGTATTTTTGCAAGACAGTTATGTGATTGGCATTGTCATATGTAATTTATATTCGTGAATCGCATTTGATCATTATGTCGCAAGATATAATTGGCACTTGAATAATTTAGCCTTTACCATCTTTAATTTTTAATAATCACATCACACCAGTAAGTAATCTGGTACACACCATTGTAGCATTTATAGGTTTGGTCTAAAAATAATTGTGCCTACTTCAGTCTTAATCTTGTGAAAGCAAACATTGGAAATAATACGCACATGTTTTTCTACATGATAAAGCGATACATGTTAACATTTGTGGCATTGTGGTAATAATAGAAAGTAAGTAAAGTCTTAATAGAAATGTATCTTGTCGAGATATATGCGCATCTTTAAAAACATAGGTTAGAAGACCAATTTATTGTAACACTAGAGTGTACATAATAATTAATTTGATTTTTTTAGAAAACAGCTCCATTTATTAGCGATCAATTGTAATAATTATATATACTAATATTAATTGAATTTTATGACACAATGGATATTGCGCACACGCACGCGACACACTCACTCGCTCATTCACTTGCACAGAATTAATATCATATAGTGAAAGTCTCTTGTAAAAATCCTTGATGTTTTCCTTTTTTATGTATGATTTAGCGTAATATATAATGAAAAATTATATAATCTAGAATAAACGATTATTTAAATTATATGAGATCAAACATGAAAGTTAACCCTTAGTACACACTTTAGTTTTTGGTACCCTTAATACACATGTTTGGTCATTCGTGTCCTGGATTAATTTTTATCACTTTTGCAATTATACATAATTTATTAAATGATTTTTACATATATTTTAACATCTTTCGAAAGTATTTGTGCAGTTATATATTCATAACAAATTGTAGATAAATTGTTATAACTAGATATAGTTAACAAAATGAGAAAAATGCATTGTTTCATATAAAAATGTAAAATTCTGAAACAAAAATGTTTAAAGGAAAAATATAGTTCAATATCTCAAAATTGATATTCCAAACTACAAAAAAAAATAGTTTGTGTCGGCTATCCAAAAAGTTTAGTTATTGAGTAACCTGAAAATTATGTTTTTTTAATATACATGAATGGCTATACATTGAAGATATATTGCATTTATATTTTAAACAATGCATTTTATTATTGCTATTGTGTTAAAAAACAGTAATTAGACAGTTTAGCATAATCACCTCAAAAATCAATAAAATTAGGCTTATTCAATACGTTTTTGTATGAAATGAAAGAATTTGGCAGAAATAAGCGTCGCTCTGTTCCGGAAATCGAGAACGTTAAAATTGACGACTATTGAGGTTAGGGTAATTATTTAGAATAGCCCCCCCTCCCCCCCCCCGATTTCCTAAAATCTTAATAAAAATATATTCGTTCGACACGTTTTCACTCAAAATGAAAGAATCTGGTCAAAAAACGCGGCGGTCGGCAATCAAGTCGTGAATCGAATTATTAAGCGTTAGAGACTTTAGAGGTTAAGATATCTATCATTCCGATTTGATATAGCACTATGTATACGTTCTGCTTTAATTATACAAATTTACTACTTTAAAAACAAATTGTCTGCTTCAAAACAAACACAAATTCACTGTTTTAAAAACACAAATTCACTACTTCAAAAACATAAATTCTCTGCTTCACAAACACAAATTCACTATTTTAAAAGTAAAAATTCGCTGCTTTAAAAATACAAATTCATTGCTAATATAAAGAATTTGTGTGCTTAAGGTTCCTGAGTAGTTGCAGCGGCCATGTTGGAATCATGACATCAGAAGCGAAGAATGACACGTTAATTTATGTTACATACCATTTGTAAGTAAAGACACTTTGGATAAGTCTAATCGACGAGATCGCTTTAAAACATTTGTAAAAATCGACGAAAACTGTCCTTTCTTCCCTTGACAGTTAGTAAATGACACGTAAAGTGAGCCTATATTCCGGGTAGAAACACACGGTCTGACAGCTGTTGAAATAAGCAAAAAATACATTTTTACATACAAAATTCCAAGATAACTTTAGTTTTCGTCGATAATTACGATTTTGATAAGTACGAGAAAAATCATATTTTAACAATTAAGCAAATAATAATGAAACGGCACGCAATATGAATTTCGTCGTCAAAACGTCACTTTTCTACGCCTATAAGTTCAGCCATTTATCATGATGCGGCGCTATAATACACATACATACATACAAGCACAAGCCCATAATGCATGTACGTATGCTCGCCTTCGGTACGCCGAGAGTGAACGAGATAGCGAGCTTCTTCTGACACCAGTCGCTTGTTTCAAGTGACTGAAAATGCTTTCTCAACACTCGGCCGTTCGGTGGTACTCGGTATCGGTAAGGGACAAGGGACATTCTAAATAACATATATAAGTTTTAATAAACTGTAGTAATAGTGTACCCTTCCATTAATCCAGAATAGTATACATAAATCATATTAAAACACAACAGTTTACGAGATATTTAATTGTTTACAATTTTTTATGCACGTTATATAGTATACCTCTCCTTCAAAACTCGAGTAGCAAAAATAGTTCAGTAGAAGTAGAATTTTACCGAAAAAAAAATTATAAATCAGCATTTCTCTTCACGAAAATTTCGAAAGACCATTAGAAAAGAAATGCGTATGTTTTAGACCCGAGACTTGTAAAGAAAATATGCGAAAAAAAATCGAATAGTTGCAAAAAGTACGTTTTTCACTTATAAAACAAAAGATATTGTTTATACAGAAAAAAGTTCCGAATGAAAAATGTAAGTATTTGTAAAATACCTAAAAAATGAATCGTGGAACATTAAAATCGATCAATTAGTTAAATAGAAAAAAAAATAAAAACCATCGAAAAAGGCTTTTTTTCACTCGCACTCTGTTTATTGAGATTTAAACGCAAAATTTTGAAATTCTCATCAAATGTAGCCCTTATACGACAAACAAATCTAGCCTTAAACGAGCCTGAAATTCATTAGTTTTTACATTTGTTGACTGAAAACCTGCCCGTGGAAAACTTAATTACTTTATCTTTGAGCAGTCGCACAGCAATTTACAGGGGTGATTTTTCTTCTTCGAGAGTTGCACTATCATGTACACTTAACAACAAAACGATTTTTTGCAGTTAAACTATTATAAAACAACTTTGAAAAGTGGATCTTTTTTTCGTATAAATAAATGGAATAATTCCATTTAATATGCATCATATTAAATAGTCGAGTGAAGCATTCGACAGCTGATATTTTTCTACGAATTTAAAAAAAAAGTTACTCTCCGATTATTAGAAGCCGCGATAACAATTTTTTTCAAGGAATTACTGCGGCTCTAATTTTTAAGATTAAGAGTTCCGTCTGGCACCAATTTGTCAAGAAATAATTGAATTTGTTGTTAAAAAATTTTCGAATTTTTTGCTGCCAAAAAAGTTTGTTTAAAACTATTGGAAAGTTGATGAACGCGAGCGAGGCAGCGCGCCGGCCGGAGTGAGGGAAGCCGGCGCACGATCGAATGGGGAAAATCTAGAGAGCTTCAAGACCACAGCACAGACTTTTGCATGACGCATAACGCATAGTGCATAAGCGAATCAATCTTTTCTTCCATTTCATGGAAAAGAAAAATTTCGATTGGTTAATTCCCTTATGCACTATGCACTATGCGTTATGCAAGAGTTGGTGCTGCGACCAATATAAGGAGAGAGTGGCATTACGTAAAATAAAATTGCATTACGTAAATGCGTCCAATCAGGACGGGGGTCACGTGACCAGTTTTCTTCAATCTCTTCCATGCCTATGGAACGTTGAGTATAACTGCATACAGTAACGGCAGTAGCTGTTCGGCTTCTTTGATGTCGCTGGTCATCGATCACATGATAAAAAAAATACTACGTCTCTTGATGCCGTTCAAATTCACCGTAAAACCCTCAACATGACTGTCAGCCATGTTGAGAGTTTTATGGTGAATTTGAACGGCATCAAGAGACGTAGTATTTCGCATAAAAAATATTTTTAAAATTTGGATAAATTCTACATATGAATTTAGATATAACACTGTATATATTAATACAGATCTATATTTTGTTTCTAATTTCAATATATTTCTGAAATCAACCAAATAAAATCATAAAACAGTATGTAAAAACATGATATTTGTAACCCATACAGCACAGCAAGATTGCAGCAACGTTGCAGCAATATTTTCCTGCAAGATTGCAACATTGCAGTAACATTGCGAAATGTTGCAGCAGCATTATAGCAACAATAAAATATCCGCTTGCTGAAATATTGCAATGTAACATTGCAGCAATATTGCAATATAATATGTATATACAATAATAATTTATAAGGATAATAGCCTTATTAAGAAATTAAACCAATCGAAAGTTTTAGAATCGTATAATTTCATGATTGAATTAATTAATTATATAATTCAATTATGAAACATTATACATCCAAAACTTTCGAATGGTTTAATTAATTTTAATTAATCTGAATGATATTGTCACTATAAATAATAAAAATCTGAATTATGATACATATATATATATACGAGGGTCGTTTGAAAAGTCCGTGCAAAGTCAGAGAAATGGCACTACTGGCGCGTATCAAGGTTAGATTTAGTTAGTAGCATCTCTTGGAGGAACACACACCAAGTTACAGCCAGATCGGTCTATTTGTTTGTGTTTGGCATTCATTTGAATCGAGGAAGTCGAGTGATTTTCAAAAAATGGACGAAAAAGAATTTCGTGTGTTGTGGTCGCAAAATTAATGGAATTAGGGTTCCAACTCGTCTCACATCCCCCCTACTCTACCAGACTTGGCTCCCTCGGACTACTATTTGTTCCCCAATATGAAGAAATGGCTGGCGGGAAAAAGATTTTATGGAAACGAGGACGTGATTGCAGAAACAAA